CCTTGTTGTTATTGTTTCTCCCAGTCTCTTTGCTGTGAGATCAGCTGTGCTATGCAGGAATCAAATAAAGACATTTAAATCACCAGTGTCGGTGAGTCTGTTTGCACTTGCCAAGGTAATATGCATCAATCAGCTCCCAAGCGTCAGCCGAATGTGATATAAGTACAGCCGCCTGCTTTGTCTCACAGAGTTTTACATCTAATTCCCATTGCAATTTCCTCCCTGTCTTACAGTATTGTCTGAAAGAATGTCTTCATCTCTGCCATGTGACCTATTATCAGAAAGATATGAGCCAATTTTGAGTCTTGGCCGTGGCTGTTTCTCTGTGGTTTCCAGGGCTGCATAGGTGCCAGTAGGGCCGGGCCCCACTCAGCCCTTGGGCTAGCTGGTAGTCCAGTTCACTCCTCTGTGATCAACATTTGTCCCCAAAGATCTCCCTCTATTTTCACAGCCAGGCAGGATAAGGCCAGGTTGTTCATCGTGACAATGTATGAAAAACCTAATTGACTTTTCCTCTCCTCTTCCTCATCTTTCCAGCTCGCCTTCAATGATCCTTGATGCTCTTCTTTGCCCGAAGCCATCCCTCTGTCAAGGGACATTATTCTCTTTTGGTTTCAGCTTAAGAGGCTAGGTTTCTTCTAGGCAGGTGGAACAGGGGTGACAGTTGGAGAGAAAGCGGCTTTGATCTCCACTGCCTTCTCGTTGCAGAACCAAGATGACAGGCATGGGAGTCTTAGGAGCACTTTATTTCACCAAAGGTGCTGGGAAAAAACACTCGGGCTTGTAAAAATGCCTGCAAATCTTGGCTCTCACATTCAATGAAGCCCAAACAATACCTAAGCTGGCCTCTTGTGAGTCCCCCTATAGTGTCTTCCAGAGACTTAGGGAGCTTCATTTCTCACTGGCAATGTGCCCTGTGTTAGAGCCTTCATGCAGAGGTAGTGTTTTATCATTTTCTTGCTTGCCCCCATTAAGTCCCTCTTTTTACCGTAGGAGTATTCTGTGGCCTCCTATGGAAGACAAAGCAATCCCACGCTTTATTAGGAGCAATCCTTAAGGAAGCAGTCCAGGTGTGGTGAATAATATTGCATAATGTTGTGTACATAGAGTTGTCACAGTCAGTCTTTATTTTTTTCATTTTTTGAATACAATATTTGACTGCTCAGCAAAAGACCTCACGTTGTTTGTAGAATTCAGGAGAAAACTACAGAACTGGGTTTGTGGGTACTCTGTACAGTCACATGTTTGTCAGGAGTAGCATTTTGTCAGCGGTTACATCAACAAGTGCTGCAACAAGTCCAACGCCTAATTTGTCACTGGTTTTATCCTTTTGACTGATTGCTGTAGATAGTGCAGATGCGTCTGCAATTATGATAGCATATTGCATTTATCCCTGATGTATGACACACATGTTCACACAGCTGTGAAAAGCTTTAAAGAGGCATCTTATAAATAAACATCCAGATTCGTATCAGTTGCTGTCACAGAGCACACTGCGTTAAGTGCAAAGAAAAACACGCTACCTTCTATATTTTGGTAGCTTTAATTTTTTCTGTGCAGATCATTGATTCGAAATAAGATAGAACAGATGGTGAATGTGAGGTAATGATTGTTCATGGATAATGTCTGTTTAGAGCAGTGAAATGAAGCCATGCAAGAAACGGTCATACTGACACATTTAAAGCTTAACTTCCATCATAATGCCATAGACTCATGTACTGATATGAAAAAACAGGACAGAGAACATCCGTTAGTTTTTTTATTTTAAGTCGGCACATGAGAATGGTATTGGTTTCAGAACACTGACAGTGTGCATTGTACCCATTTGTTTTGTTTGTTTTGTTTGTTTTCATCATAACCTGACGTTATGGATCAACATAAGTGAAGGGTATGAATACAAGGCTGTGGTGAAGCATTATAAAGTATGAAAAAAACTACATATTGCCTGTAGAAAAGTATGACAAGGCAGCGAGAGCATGAAAAGGTTATTAGAGTTCCCACATTATTCTGTTTTCTTAGTAAACATTTTTTTGTGTTTATCATGGCATTAAGAGCAGGCACCCACTGTGTACGTGACTGGGACTGAAATAGGGTAATCTTCAAAATCAAGGGAAAAAAGGTTAATATTTTGCAGCCCATAGGCAGCAAAAGCCTGATATTTTAACTACACCAAATCCACAATCAAATTAATTTGAAACTAAATGTGTCAATATCTTTGAATTGGTAAACAAGTGATTGCCATGTTGTAACTGTGAGGGTTTATTTTTTGCAGGTTATAACTGCTGCATTGGACACTGAAGGAAAAAAACTGAAAATTAGCTTTTTGGACAATCTTTTTTTTCATTTATGTGTTTTAGGATACTATATTCTGTATTTTTAACTCAACGGTTCAAGGTAAATTTTTATTGCATGCTCTATAGAAACCAGAGCAACAGTCGCCCTGTGATGATTTCACAACTTAACAGCTTACAAATCCACGATGACAATAGCTGATCATTGTGATTTGCGTTTAAAAAAAAACTTTTTTTATTCACATTGACTGTAAATAGAAAACAGTGTGCATGGGGTGAAGTTGTCCACTTTGGTGCAGCTGTCTAGTCTGCACACTGGGTAATGTGACAGCAAAGCCCAAAGCACTCCATCCTGGCCCTGCACAGAGGGAATAAGAAAAAGAGGGAGGAGAAGATAGGTAAACAGAACCATTAGAGACAAATCTATTTCTGAAGAAAACAAAATCACATCATCAAACAAGAGAAAAAGAAAAATATGATCCTGCAGCCCTCCGGGCCATGGCATTGCAATGATAGCAGACTATGGCATTTGTCTTTATCAGTCTGCCTTTAGGGAGGGGGGGGGGGGGGGTGGCTAGAAGGTATGAAAGTAAAGAGAATGAGAAAGACCAGTGAAACCAGGGCCCAGCTTCTTCTTTACCTCACACAAAATTAGACGTGTTTGCTAGGTTTGTAAGTTGACAAGACACTGTCAGCTCTGGTGTGATTATTTTTCTCTCATACGTGGTTTTGTCTTAGCTGCTCATGACGTGTAGTTGGTCAGTCTTAAACATAAGAGAATGAAGCGCTTGAGGACAGAGTGCCTTGGAATCATCAGTCAAGACTGGCCTTGGGAGTCTTCAGCAGCTCGATCAAAATGACAAGATTGAGTTGCCAGATTTGAACCTTTCTCTGTGACATTTAGTTCTTTTTATCCTGCTTTGCTGCCGCAGCACCAACAAGTCCTTATTGTTCATTGAAATACAAATACGCAGCTGAAGCTCATTATGGCAACCTTTAAAACTGCACTGGTGTAATTAAACTGTTTGTAATTATTTTTTAGTCCGGGTGATTCCATTTAATCTGTTAACTGTTTTCGTCATTTTTCATATATAAGTCCCCAAGCATAGCTACCAAGACTAAAACTGAGGCAAAAAAGACATTAATAAGTCTAGAGCCATGTTGACAGATCTGTGAGGTTATACAGAGGTTATACAGAGTGTGGTATTTGTATCTAGATAAACATTGGTGAACAAAGTATCTGCCTTTGTGTGCCTTTGTTAGGTAGGTGGAAAGATTACAGTGTTCCCCATTTTATTTGATCCTTTTAGCATGTTCATATTTGCCATTGAGCTCTTGAGTAGTTTTGAAAGTGTTTATCCACAAATCACATTGGCAGAAGGTTCATTTAAAAATGGCATTTAAAGAAAAGTTACGAGACGAATGTGTGCTGAGTTTAATAGCACTCCACTCGATAGTTTCTGAGAAAAGTCAAAGGGAATTCACCTAGTCCCCAAAGTCATTAGGATTCATTGTCGGGGAGTCAGAAATGTCATGCCACTCCATTTAATAGTTGCCGAATGGTTGGTCTGATGGACTGACCAAATGATATTGTAATTCCCCAAAAGTCTTAGCATGTTATGTTTTTGTTTTCGAATGTCAGGTGAATTTGCTTTATGGCGAAATTGGCTGTATTTCCATCTGAGAATGGAAAAGCCTCTGTTTACCCTCTATCCTGGCTGGGTTGTATTTTTGTCTGTCCATCTTCATCGCCAATTCCGAGTCCTTACAGATGCTTCATCATTACGTCCCTCCAGTGCCAGTCATTTTCCTGTTTTTTGTGCTTTTGCTGCCCAGAGTGGGTATTCTCTGAAGAGGATTGTTTGTGCCACAGCCAGGCTCACAGCCATTTAATGTGTGTTCTGTTTTGTTTTTTTTCTTTTCTTCTCCCTCTGCTCAGTTTGAATACCCCTGGGAAATTTGACTGTGTCTGATATCTTTTTTTTTTCTCCTGCTGACCAGGTTTTTATTTCTTTTCATCAGTTTCCACTTTGCCAACACTCTTACTAACTTGGACGGCTAATTGTCTGCAAAGTGATTTCAGTGTAGTGCGGAGGACTATCATAAACTTGTATGCTGGGGAACTCTGTCAGAATAATAACAGTGATGGGAACATTAAGAAGTTGGAGAATATTAAAGTAAAAGCGTCAGAGCTTCTGACATCTGAGCAATATGTAGCAGAAGGCAGGGGGTGTGATAGTTTGTGCCAACATCCCTGAAAACCATGCCAATGCTTTTTGAGTGAAATGACAACACAGTCTAGTGTGACTGGTTAGCTCTGTGCCATCTGGACATAATTGAAGAACTCAAGTGTCTTAAGTGGTAACTAGTAAAGAAGCTCGTTCCCTGTTCATATTAAAGACAGGTTTACGCTCATTACTCTTTCCTCCAGCAGCTCACTGTCTGTGAAAGTCGAGCCTGATACATAATGAATGTAACAATGCAGACAATAAAAGGAATAGTCATTATCAGCGCCATCATGCTGGGCTTTACTTGTTCTGCAGTCTGGATTATTTATAATTGTCATGACAAGAAACTCAAACAGCAAAACAGCAGAATAATAGTGATGGATGCTGCGGTGACAGTCTTGGGCTTATTTTAGCTCAGCATGAGTGAATAATGAGGTTCTCTATTCTCTGCCCATCTCTCTCTCTGCCCTCTCTGCTTCAGGTCAGAACATCGCATTCCCCCCAGTGGCTCTATGGGTAACTGTTGGCCTGGCCGTGTGTTTGCTGGTGCTGCTCGTTGCTCTGGCTGCTGTTTGCCGGAGGAAGATCAAGGAGAGCTGCGAGGAGGCCAGGAGAGAAGGTACTGGATAAAAGAGGAGCATATGTAACCTCTGTTTTTTAAGTTTTTTTGACCATTCATATAAAAAAGAGAGAACATAACTATTGTATAGCGTATAATGTTTCTATCCTTGATTTGGAGCTAAATGAATGGGAAATGTAATTGTCGGGACAAATTTGGAGCATATACAACCATGCAGTGGTTAAATAAACTGACTGTCTTTTTCATGCTGTGTTGGTCTAACGCATAGCCAGTTCAAGGACTTGCTGAATAATAGATTTCTGCCTATAATGCTCTAAAGCTCTTTCAGCCTTTCACAAGGCTTTCATTAAAATGCAGAATGATTCCTTAAATTCCACACATAGCAGCTCAGCAGATGAAATCCAGCGTGATGCCAGCATCATGTGGGAGGCACAATGAGAGCGAGAAAGATGGAGCAGAAAGCAGTGATGAGATGTTAACTGCTCAAGGAGCTTAAAGAATCCAGAGGGAGTTTTGCTTAATGCAAATGTGCTGGATCTTGGATGGTGGGACACACATCTTCGGCAGAGAGGAGCATCATTACTTGGGTCCAGTAATTAGTGTTGCGGAATAGCTGAGTATCGCCGCAAGTGCAAAAAGAAAAAGTTTTGGAATGAGATAGATAGTGCACAGCCACCAGCTCTGCTGTAATGAGATCTACTCAGAGTGGAGGAGACATTTAAATAAAGGTCAGCTTGAGTCTGCACCAGGGCCCAGAGGTTTAAAAATAAATATGGAAGTGACACAGACTCAGAGGGAAGAGTAAATAGCTGCATGGAACATATGAAATGAAATGAAATGGAAAGAGAGAAATATAATGCTGGTCCTCCCACGGGCAAAGGGCTCCGAGGGTTTGGGGCCCTTTTCTTCTGTGGGTTCAAAGAGGAGGTGCTAGTCTCGCTTGCAGCCCTAACACTGAAGGAGGGGGATTCATTATGTGGTCATCTACTGTCAGCCTTATTGAAATGTTAAATCTTATTTTGTGCCCTGCCAGCACCGCTTCTGGAGTCTTTTCTATAGATTTTCTAAGTACAATCTTGAGGACTCTGAATGCTGACTTTTCTACACAGCGTGCATTCTACTATACAGCTCATAGTGATAATGTATGAATACGGAAGTAAAGGGGCTCAAAATAGGGTTGCTATGCACATATCTGGGTCTGTTTGGGGTGCAGGAAGCAGAGATGTGCAACGTAATTGTGGTTGTCTTATCTTTTAATGGTGTTCTTGGATATGGCCAGATTGAAGTTGACTCTCCTCACTGTGTCTGGCTAGCGAGGGTACAAGGGTCAGGAAAAAGTGGAGAAGTGAGTAAGTCATTTTTCTTCCCTGTCATAATGTGTATGTGGAGCACTGGGATGTGTATCACAACAGGGCAGCTTGTAGTGTTGTGCTTGGAAGTGAAAGCCGAGGTCCAGAGCTAATATTGTGTCTCAACACCAGGATGGCTTTGTTTTCTCAAACATTGGTTTTCCTCATTCATTCTTCCCCTCAACCATCTCTACATAATTACAATGGCTATCTTTCTAATATAATTTCTCAAAGACCTATCCAGAGCCAGTGATCCATTCCTCCAGTGCTCCTTTTACGTTCAGACAAGCATGTGATTTAATCAAACCTTCTCTCGGGATCATGTGTAATCAACGCTGGGCAGATTTCCTCTGTGCGAGAAGGAAATCATAAGGGAGGCATTGTGTCTTCCTGTAGGCTTTTACCACTGTTCAGCACGTGTTTCTCAGACTTTAACCTTCAGGTAAAAAAAAGCTTTCTCCCCAACCATAAGTCATCATTGATTGACTCTGTGTGCATGTGGCATACATGCACAAATGATCAGCACCTGGAATTTTCACTTTGTTCCAGGTCTGTGTACACATAGCTTTGAGAATAAAATATTTCTGGCATGGATGGCCAGAATGTCAGTAAATGAAGCCTGTTTGAGTCATGGAACAATATAATTTAACCTTTTATTTTGAATATTTGACATTTCAAAGGAAACGGAAACAAATTAAAACCTGCACAAAAATCAAAAGTCATTACATCTTCTGTCCTAATCTGTGCATAGGTCTTAAAAAGCAGGGAGCTTTGTTGTTTTGGGGGTGCTATCATAATCCCTTAGGCAACCAATCCATTGTGTTTGAGGAGATTTAGCAACAACTGCTCCTCTCTGTAATAATAATGACAATAAAACAAAAAAACAAAAAGAAAAGAAAATGGCAGAGAGAAGCACAACAAAGAACATCAGGATTCTTCTGGCTTCAGTGAGCAGCTGTTTCTTATTCTGACTCTCCTCTCTTTTATGTGGTTTGTCCAGCTTTACCGCTTAAGCCGTAACCACCCACTTTCTTTCCTCCACACTCTGTGAATGCAGCCTGCAGACGTATAGGTTTGCCACACACCTATGTGGATGCCCTCATCTTAACCCTTCTCACTTCTGACTTTAAGGCACCCTTAAATGAACCTCAGCCTGCCATCAAAGCCTGGTCCCCTCAGGTATTTCTACTGCTGCCCCATTGGCAGGACACTTGATTGGGTGGGAAAAGACTTTCACTTCTCTGTGAATTTTACACGGCAAGGCAGAGGATGTAAAGTACATATATTCCATTTTTCATGGTGCCTTTGTGGAAGTTTTTTCCTCGAATTTGTACACATTATTATCAGCTTAACTTGACACTGCACTCGAAGTTGCCAACAAAGTAATTTCTTAGTATGCATTGAGTTGAGAGAGCAAGCAAAACTTTGTTTTCTCACAGAAGTCATTAATGATAAAGTGAAATAACAATTTGCAGTAATATTGTATACTGAGCATAATGCAGGTTTACAAACAGATTAGTGTACTGTATATGTGTTGTATATACAGGCTGCTTTGATCTAGAAAGGGAGCTCATTCTGCTGCTGCTGTAATAATAAGGATTTCTTTTCCCTAATTTCCCCTGAGGATTATAGTCTCTGCTGTCAGAGATGGGAAGAAAGCTAACATAGTGGAATATAAACATTTGACATTTAGTTTTGTTCAGTTATCAAGTTGATCTCATGTAACAGACACTAAACTACAGATCCTGATTAAGATGAGACTTAGTTTAGAGAATCCATCTCCCGTTCGGTACTCTGTCAGAGGCTATTTTTAGTCGGTATGTGTGTGCATGTTTGCACGTTTGCCCGGTGTGCATAAAAGTGTGACAGTCATCACCGTTGCCTCCTGACAGTAGGTTTTCAGAAAGCCCACAGCTAAAGCCTAATGTGATTACCGTCTTTGTGAAAGGGCTGGATAGGAGGTTAAAGTGTGGATATGATAAATGTGTATGTGTGATGTGGTGGAGGGGGGGTTCCATTTTGTGTGGTGCTTCATCGTCGTATAGCTCTCTCATTCAAAGCTTGTCCTTCGAGCTTTCAAAGGATCAGCTCACCACAGACTTGTAATGAAGCGACGACATTGTGCGCCTGCCGTTGTGCTGTGGCTCCTGCTGATAATGGCTCCTCTGTCTTTCTACAGCTGAAGAGGCCAAGGAGCTAGAAGAAGACGAGTCAAAGACAGGTCAGTCTCTCCAAACCTGGTCTCATGTGGTCAGGAAACACTTACACATCGGTTATTGTTCATTCAAAAAATCAATTAATACCAAATTATCCAAATTTTAGTGGGGCTCTGTCAACAATAATTGTTTTAGACTGTCACTTGTAATGATGTAACGGAAGAAATAACTATTGGTTGTTGCATTAACTTGGATATCTAAAGTTGAAGTGATCCTGGTGAAGCGTGGTTGCACTTTACAAATGGGATTGAGTAAAGGCACCAAATCCGTTCTACATAGCCACACAATAGAGCTGTAGTATGTTACTGCTTGCAAACGTTAGTGTAATTTTCCTCCACTACATAAGTAAGTGTTTGAGGCAGAAGAGGGGAGACTGACTTACTAGTTTAGTGCTCCCTATAAGGTATTTTACATTTTATGTATCCCCAAAGCGACTACTTTAACTATAAAATCCATCTTGCCTTTAAATTTAATGGTAACAAGATCAAGATGTTTCAGATGTGACAGCATAGCAGCCATTGTGCTGCCATAACCTGCAAGCAAATGATCCTGTTTATCAAGCCAAATTGATTTTGCAATTCGGTTTTGGCTGCAATGCGTTAGGCATATAATTGTCACTTGGAGTGTGTTGTTTTGGGTTTTGTGATCTCTCGTTTCGAAGAATAAGTTGGCATTATCTTGCACCACTTCTTGCAAAGAGTAGTTTTATTTACTATGTACAAATGTTGAAGCTGCGCATTTATATGAAGAAAATGATAAGAAAACAAGAAAACAGAGTGCAGATAGAACATTCTGTGAGGCAATATTGTCCTAAGAGTAGCTGAATGTAATTAAAGGTACATTGATGTATCTAAAATCTAAGATATCTCACAGAAAAACTCTTTTCTATTTGCAGTTACCTGGTGGTGATCACAGTCCAATGTTACAATTTGGCTGTCCTAAAGAACCAACCACCTCACCAATTTGTGGAAATCACTCCCTTTAATTCATAGATAACTTAAGAATGCAAATTAAGAAAACTTTTAGTTGAAGGTTATATCTAATTTAATTAAATGTGAACTTAATATATATTTAAAATAGAAAAAAAACTTACACTTTAAGAAGATCTGCCTCAGAGCAGTCACACAGTTGAGCTCTATGTAGCTGAAAATAAAAGCAGAGGGGAAATTAAATCTAACTTTTTCCTTTCAGCTGATACTGAACTCAGCGCAGTGTTCTGTAATATTGACAGCCACTGTAGAATTTGCATGTTAGTTTTAGAGATGGTGCAATATGTCAAAGTTTACATGATGGAGGAGTAAAATATTGCATTATAACTCCACCTGTGAAGCGTTGCCCCTTGTTGGTTAGTCTTTGGTGCTTATGAGAACTTCTGAGAATAGCACCAGAATCTGGATTTCCCTGCCCCTTCAGTACTCGCCACAGTGGAGATGACTCACATGCTAGTTGAGGAATACGTGAGGACATGTTTACATTTTAGCATTTTCGTCTTCATCTTTGTTTGAATCTAACATGTCAAATTAACATTTATCAAACACTTAATGTAACACTAGATTATATGTACCTCTGTAGTTGGTTTCTCTGCTGGTTGCCTAGCGACATCATCAAAAAGAGAACAGTATGGAAGTTATGTGTGGCCAAGTGAGATGCTCAACCTTTGTAAAGATGCAAACATATACCCATTACAGTTTTTGTATGGACTTAACAAATGACATAATGCACTAATCAGTGAGCTTTGGGGATGCTAAAAGGCAGCCTTGGTGACTTTGCTAAGAAACAGAATTTGTCATGAAACATACTCCCCAAAAAGTGAGGTCACTGTTAAATCTAACATGGAACAGCTTTTAAAATTCGAGACTTTGAGTATTTAGTTGTTTTTCTCAGAACACTGGTGACCTGAGATAAGACATCACCATCTTTGCTTTTTATCTTTCTGATTAGTTGTGATATTTTGCTCACTAGGAGTATGACCTAATTAATTTAGAATGAATTTGTCCATTGGCATACAGGGCAACATTACTAGCTTCAGAGACAACACCTCGGTGCTCTGCAGTTCTCCCTCAAGCATTAATGCCATTAGAGTTATTCATTTGACTCCTTTTTTATTCTGATTGAATTATTTAGCCTTTCAGTGAACGCCAAAGTTAATACCATGTGATTTTAATAAGCTGAGAGGTGAAGGAGAGTCCCCGAGTGAAGGGGCACAATGGCTTTTATTCTCTGCTGCCTCTCTCATGAATGTTTCAGGAAGATCTGTGCAGCCAGGAGCAGGGTCAGCCATTCGCAACTAGCTACACTTAATAGCTCAGCTATTAAGCTTCAGCTAAAAGGCAGCAGACAAAGAGGATGTAACTGTGAGACTGCAGTATGACTGCACTCCAGTGACTAGGCAGGAACTTGCAGCCACTCTTGCCCTCACCTGTTCTCGTCATCGTCCTTGCACCTGGTGGAACCAGGTGGATGTTATGGGCGGTGAGCTTGTGAAGTCACCCTAATGGCTCTGTCTTATGAGATCACTCTCTAAGCGATCCAGACAGGCAGCTTTGTTTTGCCATCTGGCTCCAATTGCGCTGACAAAGGCAAAGGTTCCTGCGTGAGACAAAGGAGCTAAAATGAGCCCCTCTTTAATAAACCCAGGATGATGGCAAGCCACGTTTATGTGTTATCTTAATGAGCTGTCCAAAGGAGAGCGCGCCTTCCCTTTCAAAGCCAGCCTGATTGGAACAATAACCGGTGATAACTAGGGACCTGTGCTCATTCATTTGCAGTGGGATGAGATCCCTTTGTTGGGTTTATAGCAGAGGCAAATAATGTTTAACAAACAGTGTAACACAAATTCTTTATATATTTGCTGGTGCTGAACCCAACAGCAACACTTTCACTCACACGGCCACACTTAAGAGTTGCAAGAGGACACCTGAGACACCACAAAAAGAGGCGCTATTATTCACTAAAGTCCACCCACATGCTGAGACTGCCTGCGTGGAGTTCTTGCTGTTTTCATACCTCACCGTGTCGTAAAAGTGTGTTCGATAATTTGAGCATGATGTGTTGTTTATAAGGGGCTGCAGACATGCAAGTTCAGCTCCTGACAGTATCTGGCTTCAGTTTGTGTGCGCTAACCCCTGGATGAGAGTGCTGCTGACCCAGTTCTTTCACAGACACAGAATCACAGAAAAAGAACAATTTGACACACCCTCTGAAAAGTGAGTAGGCTGTGAAAAACTGTTTTATTAACCCTTCTTAAGTGAGTCAAAACCCTGTGAAGGTGGAATGTTAGAGAATATCAAGCACCCTGCAGTTGATAGCAGACAGAAGCTCCAGCCTGCACACTCTTCTCACTCCTTTTAGATAAGGCCACCACTGCAAGTCGAGTAACAGTGCCAAAACCACACAGTCTCCAGCATGGAGACTCGCCACCTTCAATGTACTGATTTAAAGAAGTTAGTCACTGAGGTTATGATCAGGTAGCTCTTGCACAGATGTACAAGCCACCTTTGTGACTGTCACTTTGCTTCCTCTCAATCACAAAAAAGCTTTTACACTAAAAAAAGATTTCAAATGTAGACATAGCTAGTGTAACATCTCAGTTTTGATGATTGCCAGCAGTTACTTACTTATCCTGAGAGGTGGATTCTCAGCCCAGAAAATACTTCTAACCATCTGAGAACAAGCCTGAAAACTATATCAATAACGTAGAGCATTAAACTATCATTTGCAATAACAGCTTTCTGGGATTCACTTTATTTTTTTTATTGTTTTTTATTACTGGACCTGGGGACAGTCTCACTCACCAATGTACTTCCAGCTGACTTCCACATGGGTAGAATTAATCAATGCTCTTTCCTTTTTGTTTAATTATAAAAACAATATTTTCTATGCTGATGTTGCATACATGTTGATTGTTTCATACTGATGTTGCCTTAAATGGTGAATCTTTATTCAAAATTAACATGTGTATTCTTATGTTGTATTCCCATCAATGCTGATTAGAACTGAAGCCAATTAAAACAATCAATTACTGCACTGACACTTGACTGAAAGCTGATGAGACACTTTCCTGCTGCACTCAAAAGCTAGATTATAGCAGGTGTTGGTGAGCTTTTTGACCAGTGTGAAAAAAAAGGTTAATAGCAATGCCATTGCTATGAAAAAAAAGAAAAAACACTTGGTGTAATGTATTGTTGAGAGTGTATCAGAAAGTCTAAAAAGGAACCTAAGGATTGTCTTATACTGATGCTTTAATGCTATTGATTGGCAGCTGGTGACAGTAAAACATTGATGGGCAACACTGCCTACAACCAAATACTTATGTAAACAATGCATGTATCTGTAAGATTAGTGATAATCATTTTTTAATTGTGTTTCTAAATTGTTTTGCTGTCAAAATACATGAACTTTGCTGGAATTCTGTGGCTTTGCTCCCCCTCTACAGATTTTCAATTTCCCCCACCTCTATTTCACATATCCAACATTGGGCTCTCCCAGTGGTCACACATTAGTGACTGGAGATATGTAAATAGAACATTCATGTTGCCTTTATTATCGGATGTGGGTCAAGGGATAACTTGAAAAGTACAAATTAAAAGAGCTCCCTGCACACCATTGCAGAGTCGTTGCACTCATAAAATTCTGTTTCTGCATTTATATTCTTTGCCTGTTTGGCAAAAAAGAAGCCATAGCTTACGTGTTGTGATTTCTCTTTGGGTGCACCATGAAGCGATTTTTCAGTTGAAGGCCGCTGATTAGATAATAATGGTAATGTGAACCTCTTATAACATGAATCACATTTTTTACACCGGACCAAACCTTCTGAATAGATTTAATACAAGAAGATATTCTGTTTCCATCTGTTAACCCATCGTTTTGTTTATGAGAACGAGGTGCGTTTTTATAAAATCCCAGTTAGTGGACAAAATTTGCTTGACATAAGTTCTTAATGCACGAAATTGCTGCTTCTCCTGCAAGCTCCCAGAGGTTATCTCCTGGCTCGTGAAGGAAAGGCCACCTGATCAATGTCAGAAGGGATTGAAGAATTTTTGCAGGCCTTAAATCATTTTGAATAATGAGTGTTGTCACAGTTGATAAAAGCAGTCAAACCACTTGGTGCTGTACATCACAACAACAGGTCAGTCCCACTCCCTGCTTTTTTGCATATTAGACAAAACAGTGTTGGAGTGCTTTTGTGTGAGGACAGGGTTATTTCAGAAGCAAAGGCAATCTATTTTCTGGGATGAATCCCCCTGTACAGATGCCATTTACATCTTCCTGCCATACAACACCCACTACCACCACCACCCTCCCCTGATCCCCCTTCTGTCATGTAATCTACACTCCTCTGACAGCACAGCCAGGGCCCGGTGGGAGAGCGCCTATCCATCTCACTACCCCAATCTGCCTCCCCTGTTTGGTTCCACATGAGCACTCAGCTGCTGTGACTAATTAAATAAAGCGCTGTGCCCTCTGCTTCCTGTTAGCCATGGCAAGGTTGGTGCACAGATATGGAGCAGAGTAACAGGAGGAAGGCTGCTGAAGGAGGAGGAAAGAGGATAAATACTATAAAGCCAGCGATAATACTTTAGTCATGACAGTGGACATGACAATTATAGGAATGTCAGTGTCAGCAATTTAAAATGTTTAAAGTACTGATATTTATTATCTGTTGTTCTTTTCCCCCCCAGCCATGACACCACTGAAGAGCTAAGGCCAAGAGCGTAAAGGTGCGTAGGATTTTAATCTAGCATGTACCGTCTAGTAGATCTTTAAATGTATGTACTGCTCACTCTTTTTTCTCCCTATAACAATTGTCTGGTAAATGCAATAGTAATGCTCTGAAGGACACAATGTTCTGTTGGGGCTATTGGTGAGTGCTGTTGTAATGATGCATGGCTGCATTCATTTAGCAGAGTAAGGTCGGAATATTAGAAATGTTGACATTTCGATCGTGAAAATCACAAGGTTATTTACTGATTTGAGTAATCTCATTTAATTTTATCTGACAGAATGGAAAATTAGAAATACTAGCATTTAGTATGTCAGCATTCTGTATTTTAATAAAACATGCATCCTGGCTTTGTAACAGCTCAATTTCTTTGAGTTATGGACTTCACTTACAAGAAAACTTTTCATCAACCATCAAGTCTCAGTTTTCTTGTTAAGCAGTTGACCTTTCAACTTTGCAAGATGGATATTCTGGTGGAGCCACTTAATTTTTAATCATTTTTTACATTTCCATGATGAATCATTACTAAGGTTTTTTGTTGGCCATGACTTTAAGTTGGTCTATTTTCCCTGAAGAGTTTTTTACTTTTTTTTTACGCTCTCTGTAGTAAGAAGCGGTATTATCGTGTAAAAATGAGTTTAGCATCACCAGACCTTCATTTGATTAATGGGATAGGAAAGGTGTCCTGGATTTTCATGTCGAGCTGTGCCTTCACTGTAGAGGTAATCTAAACCTGACACCACCGCCACATCCAAATTTGTTTTCTTCAGGTTGCCATTTTCATATGTTACAATTCACTTTCATCAAGCAAAAAGTGAGACACCACCATGAAAGGATATCACTTTCACTCAGTCATCTGTAGCTCGTGACTGCTGCTCATTAGATCATTGCAACCTTGTTTTCTGCTGTTTTGTTTTACTTGAATGGGAATCGAGACTAGCAGCTGTAGAATTCAAGAAGGTAATGAGAATACATTGGGATGCTCTTTTCACTCAACCATGGTCAGAATGTCTCATGTTCCATCAACTTTACTGAACCCCGCATATGGATCTCTCGATGTCAAAGCCCTGAACCTTTGGGGCAGTGAGATATCTGGAGTCCTGTAACCAACAAGGACATGGAGCTGTCGTCAGAGCATTGGCCGTGTTTACTCTTTGAGTGAAAATGTATTTCTTCTTCCTTGTTTTGACGCGTTGTATTTTTTGCCATCTTGAATGCTGATATTTTGGGACACATTTTAGATGCACTCCATCAATTTTGACTTGACACAAATTGAGGCTTTTTTTGTCACTGTGGTGCTTGAGCGATAACAGAACAGAATTCTTGTCAGAAATGGAATGCAATGTGATTAATATTGCTGTTGTAGATATGTTTTTGTTGTTCAGGATTGTTCCACATCAATTACTTTATTGTGGTTCAGAGGCTGAGTTGATGTACTGTGTATATTCAGCATGCATGTCTGTGTGTGTGGACACAGTGGTTGCACACTTACAGCATGTGTTGAATTTAGTTAAAAATCCAAAATGATGATATTAGCATAATGTGTTGCAAGCAGGCATTACCAGGAAACAAATGGTTCATTTAACATGCTGACCAAACATTTTAGAAATTGAAACAGTGTGTAATTGTTTGGGATGGCCACATTCATGGCTGGTAAAAAAAAGAAATACGGATTATTTTGCAAATTTTTAGAACATCTCTTCTTTATATTGCGGTGTCCCCTTATAAAGGACTAAAATAGCTTTTAAGATGGTTCCTGAGCAATCCAGCGATTTAAAAAGCAATCCTAATTAAGTTTCACGGACTCTGGCAGCAGCCTGAACAGGGAACCCCAGACTTCCCTCTACCTTGCTACTTTTGCTAGCTCCTCCAGGGGGATCCTAAGGCGTTCCCTGGTCAGCCCGGAGATGTAGTCCCTCCAGCGTGTCCTGGGTCTTCCTCTGGGCCTCCTCCCGGTGGGACGTGCCCAGAACACCTCGCCAGGGAGGCGACCAGGAGGCATCCTAATCAGATGCCAGAGTCACCTCGACTGGCTCCTTTCAATGTGAAGGAGCAGAGGTTCTATTCTTAGCCTCTCTCGGACGGTCGAGCTTCTCACCCTATCTCTAAGGGAGGAAACCCTGCGGAGGAAACTCATTTCGGCCGCTTATATTCCTGATCTCGTTCTTTTGGTCTCTACCTAAGGTTCATGGCGATAGATGAGGGTTGGAACGTAGATCGACCGATAAATAGAGAGCTGAGCTTCTTCCAGGTCTCCAGGTCTCACTGTTGTTGCCCACGTGAGCACTGAGGTTCCCCAGTAGAACAAGGGAGTCCTCAGGGGGGTCGCTCTCCAGCACCCCCTCTAAGGACTCCAAAAAGGGTGGGAAATCAGTCAGCAGCCGTCCCCCCTCCCGAAGGCGAAGGCAAGCTACCCTCTCATTCACCGGGGAGAAGCCCAATGCACAGGCGCAAAGATGGGGGCAACAAGTATGCCAACTCCTGCTCGGCGTCTCTCACCGAATCCACCAAATCCAGAATAAAAGAGTGTCCAACCCTCTCAAGAAGATTGGTTCCATCATTGGTCGGTCTCGCATCGGGGCGAGACCGACTATATCTAGCTGGAATCTCCCCGCCTCGCACACCAACTCAGGCTCCTTCCCCACCAGAGAGGTGTCATTCCACGTCCCAAGACTCAGCTTTTGAAGCCTGGGATCGATCCGCCAAAGTCTGTCTCTGGCTGCCACCCATATCACACTGCACCTAACCCCCTTTGGCCCCTCCCATGGGTGGTGAGACCATCGGAAGGGGGACCCATGTAGCCTTTTCGGGCTGAGTCCGGCCGGGCTCCATGAGTAAAAGCCCAGCCACCAGTCGCTCACCAACTTGCCCCACCTCCGGGCCTGGCTCCAGAGTGGGGCCCTGGTGGCCCGCATCCAGCCAAGGTAGCCTCAGGCTATTTTCCTTTTTTTGTCATAAGGGGTCTTTGGGCTGTACTTCGTCTGACCCCTCGGCTAGGACCTGTTTGCTTTTAGTGACCCTACCAGGGACTTAAAGCCCCGGACAACATAGCCCCCAGAATTATTGGGACACTCAAACCCTTCCACCACAGTAAGGTGGGAGCCCAGGGAGGGATGATGAAAGATGTTGAAAGTAATTTCCTGTAACTAACAAAAATAAAGTCAAGAGAGGACATTTGTCATTACTGTAGTATCCACTGACCTTCACTAAGACTGTTATGTGGCGCTAATATCCTTCAAGGCCTGTGAACTCCCCACTGCTGAATCATCCTGGATCAATTATTCTAATATTTGTGTGGCAGTTTTTCTATTGATTAATGCATTTATGCAGAGCGCAGCATACCTTATTTAATAAAGCAAGGCTTTGCATTTAATCAAGTCCTATTGGAACCAGAAGACACTTGGTTCCATAAACCTTTGGCTTATTGATACATGTGCTCATAAGCTCATGCTTGAAGTCAAGCTTTTGTTCCATTACAAGTAGAGAAACTGATGTGACACATTTAATGGCTATTTTAAGCACACGTGGTAGTTAGTAAATGATGCATGCCGTTACCGACACCATTGACTTGTCCCTGCTGTGTTTGACTGTTAAAGCTTTACAGATCATTATAACAATGATGGCTGCAGAGGAGTTCATTAACTAACACTCACAATAAGTTTAGGAGACAGATGTTTCCGGTTTAGTTTGCTTCCAGTCAATTTTGTATCTACAAAGAAATGGCAAAAGATACACTTATGCGTAAGTGTTAAAGTGATCATTGTTTAACTCATCATTTGATGAACAAGTTGTTTTTCTTAAACTAGTATACGTTGAAAAGTTCCTTGCCATTAAAGTCCACATGATGATTAAATTTTTCACTCCTCTTCCCAGTGATCTTAGAGTAATTGCTCCATAAATGCTTCAGAAACTTACCAAATCATCGTCATTCTTTTTAATTCCCATTTTGTCTTCGTTAATGCCATTATACTTCATAACCAGTCATTCAAAGTCAAATGTCAGTGGACTGTTCCTGGCTTTGCATTTGGAATGTATAATACAGCTGGCTCATCTGATATTAGAAAATTAGCAGCGGATAAGAGAAACCTCTCTTCTGCTTTGCGAGCCCTCTCTTCAAAATGTACAATGATATTTAAAAGTTATTTTATTCCTTATATATGCTAAGGGAATAAGGAATAGTATAGAACCTTGGCTGAGCCAGAGATGGCTGCAAATGAGAGAGGAATAAATATTCAAAGGCAGCCATGTAGCGAATAAAGAGAACTCGGTAAAATGAGCAGCTGTATGGACCATCCCGGTCGTCTACCTGAAGACTTTCAATGAATTCCAATGAGAGTGCAGATTGCATTATTAAAGATAGGCCCTATAGGTGCAATTAGTGCTACATAATGGCCCTTTTGTAGCTCTTTTGGCACAGATCTGAAATATTGATTTAATTTGCCCTTATATTTTCACTTAAACTCTGGCTTGTCATGCCAAGCATATATCTCATTGTTATGCTATTTTAAAACTGTTGTAGCTCAGGCTTTGCTCTGTAATAATTTTCCCTACTGTGTGTCTGTAGTCCGTTCTCAGGGGATACAGAAGAAATAAAATGGGATAAAATACAGTGGAAATCTTAGTGAAAAACTAACCTAGATGTATTGTCAAAACTTGCTGCTGCCATAGACAATGCGGTTAGAATTTCCGTGGAGAAGGGCGAGAAAAGCTAGATAGGATTCTTTTTTTTGGGGCTGTATGTGACAGGTGAAGCCCAGCAGACACT